AGTTAACTATGAAGCTTTCATAAATTTGGCATGTTCACTGTTCCTCCCAGCACCACCAGGGTAGGGCACATGTCCACAGCCCCACAGCAATAGGTCTAGGAACTCATCTGCACTGTACATTTAAAGCAGTACCATTGTACAGTGGTACCTCGGGTTACATATGCTTCAGGTTACACACGCTTCAGGTTACAGACTCCGCTAACCCAGAAATAGTGCTTCAGGTTAAGAACTTTGCTTCAGGATAAGAACAGAAATCGTGCTCTGGCGGCACGGCGGCAGCAGGAGGCCCCATTAGCTAAAGTGGTGCTTCAGGTTAAGAACAGTTTCAGGTTAACAACGGACCTCTGGAACGAATTAAGTACTTAACCCGAGGTACCACTGTACTTTAAACAGTCGTGGTTCCCCCAAAGAATCATGGGAACTGTAGTTTGTTAAAAGTGCTGAGAGTTGTTAGGAAAACCCTATTCCCTTCACAGAGCTACAATTTTCAAAGTGGTTTTAACTGTCAGTTCCTGTTCTCAGTGAACTCTGGCATTATTACAGAACAACCCTTTGCATGTTTTGTTTCAGATGTAGGCCAAACACTGAGTTCAATGGGACTTCTTCCCAGGTAAGTGGGCATAGAGTTGCACCCTCAGAGTACTTAAAAGTGTTTGTCTCTGCATCGTATTTGTGAACTAGGGAGAGCTAACTGGAACTCATTGCTAAATAGCACTACCAAGGCCTCCCAGTTACCTTATCTACTGGACGACTTCAAGCTATTAGACTGTTTCCCTGACTTTTTATGCAAACTGAAATAGGCCTCCAATAATGAAAATGATTGTTTTCTTTCCTGTTGGAGAAGTTTCCTTTCCTTTTTTTCATCCTTTTTTGCATGACTAGCTACAAAATGGTCTTTGTTCTGTTACTGACTTGATGAGCTCACTGCCACGCAGCAAACATATTTATTACACCGTGCAAAGGTTGCAGCCAACAAATATGCTGGTGCAAAGTCTGGGATCCCGAACCTTTATAATAAACTAAGGCAAGGCATTTCTTGCTGCTTTGCTACAATCTTCAGACTTCAGATAAAGCAGCTTCTTTATAACTTTCTTGATAAGGACTGAGAAAAACAGGCAGAGCAGGCGGACGCTGGTTTCAATCTCAGTTTGGTTCAGTACTGACACCAGGTCTAACTCACATCCACGATGCTGATAAATAATGGCAGAGTCAGCACAGCTAAGGCCTCTATAGATCTTGGGCTCTTCCACAGGGCATGCTTCTTCCAGATGGATTTGTATCAGAAATCTGCCTTGAAGCCTGTTATCTGCACACAATCTGGTTTCCTTAAAAAAAGAAATCTATAAAAGGCTCAAAAGGCTCCCCCGGGACCATTTTTTCACTGCTCTATTTGACAGCACATCTTACTGAACTCAATGGCAAACTCTCTTGCAATTTTAGTAGTTCAGAATTCCAGCTTCAGATTCAATCCTGCACCCAAACTGCTTACGCCCTTCTCAGGGGAATTCAAGCACTGCGTTTATTGCTGGTGCACATGTTGAATTGAGACACATGTTGCTAATTCCCTAAGTATCAAAATGATGTATTTGAATCTATTTTTGGATTTTTAAGCAGGGACTTTTAACATCTCTGTTAACAATTTCTCCATACCATATATTTACCTAACATTTATGGGAAGAGAGGTACCTCAGTGGTAGAGTTGCATACAATGGGTACCAGACTGATCAGGTTCATTCTCTGGCATCTGAAGGTAGAACTGTGAAAGAGTGCTTCTCTCATAAATCCTAGAAGACTATTGGTAGGTCTCTTGGTAAATCAGTAGGTCTTTAATAATAGTTAGAATCATAGAATCATAGAATCATAGAGTTGGAAGAGACCACAAGGGCCATCGAGTCCAACCCCCTGCCAAGCAGGAAACACCATCAGAGCACTCCTGACATATGGTTGTCAAGCCTCTGCTTAAAGACCTCCAAAGAAGGAGACTCCACCACACTCCTTGGCAGCAAATTCCACTGTCGAACAGCTCTTACTGTCAGGAAGTTCTTCCTAATGTTTAGGTGGAATCTTCTTTCTTGTAGTTTGGATCCATTGCTCCGTGTCCGCTTCTCTGGAGCAGCAGAAAACAACCTTTCTCCCTCCTCTATGTGACATCCTTTTATATATTTGAACATGGCTATCATATCACCCCTTAACCTCCTCTTCTCCAGGCTAAACATGCCCAGCTCCCTTAGCCGTTCCTCATAAGGCATCGTTTCCAGGCCTTTGACCATTTTGGTTGCCCTCCTCTGGACACGTTCCAGTTTGTCAGTGTCCTTCTTGAACTAGTTGTCCTGTTGAAGACCTCAGTTTGCGTGTTCTGAGCAGCAGTAAAGAGTGGATGCCTTCTGCTTTTGGTTTTTTCTCTCCAATTTTGGGTAACATGGTGGGTAGAAATGGCAAGATGGGTGCATTTGGAATATGCTAGAAATATGCATAAAAACATTGTTTTCAGCATGCTAGTAATATGCATAAAAACATTGTTTTCAGCAGCAAATGGTGCTAATATGTATGGCTCTGAACCACTTCAGCAAGTATTTAATGCAGCACAATAATTAATAAATGATTCCCCACGGGGTCTTGCTGTTGGTTAACAAAAGAGTACATCCAGTTCCCATGTGATCTGGAAGATCACAACAGAATTTCCCTGACTCATGTTTCAATTTGCAAGTTAACTCACGTTGTCTCGATTTACTGATTTGCAGTAAAATCAGTACTTATGTTTTACAGCTATGTGTGATAATACTGCATACATTAAAATGATCATATATCTTGCATCATTCCTTAACAGAAGCGTGTAAGTAGACTTGTTCAGAATAAACATTTTTAGATAGCTGTCCAGCAGGTGATCAGCAAAAAGATCAGCCTGACAAGGTCGTGTTCAAAACAAAACAACACAAGATGTACTATTTGACCCCGCTGGTAATCTCTTAAATGACACAAATATGTCAGATGAGCTGCCAACAGTTAATGAAGTTTAAAAGACTTTGCCTCTGTGAGGGCTGGGAACGATTAATATTTTAATGTAGGGAACCTGTAGCGCTTCTGATTAATTGTTGGATGCCAACTTACACCAGCCCCAGTAGAGTCAATGGTCAAAGGAAAAAAAGTGTGGTTAATACTTTCACTTAAACAAATAGGATTTAATTTTTGACTGTGGATCTGTATGTATCTATGTTTGGCTGCTTCATTAGGATTATAAATCTACCTCTGTGCTAAGGTTTAATTGCATTGCAGGTCTTCAACTGAGCATCTCATTTGGTGATACAACCTGTGCCCTACAAAAACTGAGATCCTACCAAAGGAGGTTTTCTGAAAGGACACCAGTCTCATCAACCAAGGAAGCTTCCTTACAGTGACAGGGCAAAAGAACGATGGAAGTGGTTTGACCTTTGAATGCACATTTGTTGGGTCCTGAACAATTTGCTTCACTCTTATTTCTCTGTAGGAAATCCCATCTGGGTTTTATGTGTTCTAGTTTATCAGAGCCTAGTGCATTTCAGTCTAGGTTTTTACACAAAGCTGAGGAGCTCCAGAGACTAGACCCAGGGGCAGTTAAAAAGAAAGATTCTGGTAAACTTTTTCCATGCCTAATGCACATTTGACTTTGATCTGAATAACATGTTTTGGTCCCCATGTAAATATTCTTTCTTACAGTGGTGACAAGAAATTTATGAAGTCATGCTGAACAGTGCATGGATTTCTCTCTCCCCTTCTCTTTCCTAACTTTATTTTTCAGTTTCTGAAAATACATATAACAAACAATCCTCATATGGACTTATTGACACAGGTTGAGGCCTGCCACATAGGCCAAAGTCTCTTCATGCTGGCTGATCAAGAATAAGGGTGCGTTCTTTTACTTTGTTTTCCTGCTTAGAATAATAGAGGTACAGTGGTACCTCGGGTTACATACGCTTCAGGTTACATACGCTTCAGGTTACAGACTCCACTAACCCAGAAATAGTGCTTCGGTTAAGAACTTTGCTTCAGGATAAGAACAGAAATCATGCTCTGGCGGCGCAGCAGCAGCAGCAGCAGAAGGCCCCATGAGCTAAAGTGGTGCTTCAGGTTAAGAACAGTTTCAGGTTAAGAACAGACTTCCGGAACGAATTAAGTTCTTAACCCGAGGTACCACTGAACTATGGCTGTTATTTGTACAGCTGATACTCATGAGACCCCATACAACCACACACCAGGCAGGAAGCTAGACAAGAACAGAATGGCAACAGAAAATTCCTGACTCTACCCAGGTAGAAGTAAGTCTAGTGCCACTGATGATGGGTCTGCCACACTTATCTTGCATCGTATGTTGCAGCCCTGAACAGTGGTTACAATGCACTGTTCTTCTAATGGTTGTTCAGGGCTACAACATCCGATGCAAGGTAAGTGTGGCAGACCCACCACCGTGTCATGCTTGCAGCCACTGCTGCCATTACCTGCTGCACATTTTCAGGAACATGGTTATTGAGCTCTGAGGTTTATTTTGGATGGTGATAGCATACTGCCAAAACATTAATATTAATATAAAAGATAAAGGGACCCCTGACCATTAGGTCCAGTCGTGACCAACTCTGGGGTTGCGGCGCTCATCTCGCTTTATTGGCCAAGGGAGCCGGCGTACAGCTTCCAGGTCATGTTGCCAGCAATACAAAGCCGCTTCTGGCAAACCAGAGCTGCGCACGGAAACGCCGTTTACCTTCCCGCCGGACCTATTTATCTACTTGCACTTTGACGTGCTTTCGAACTGCTAGGTTGGCAGGAGCTGGGACCGAGTAACGGGAGCTCATCCCGTTGTGGGGATTTGAACCGCCGACCTTCTGATCGGTAAGTCCTAGGCTCTGTGGTTTAACCCACAGTGCCACCCGCGTCCCTTAATATTAATATATATTTAACCAAAAGAACAAACAATGTCCTAGAGTAAAACGGGCTATTGCCGAGTACATGAATATACTAGACAGAATACAGCCTGGGACAGCTCAGTTGGAAGAACATGGGACTCTTAATCTTCGGGTCATGGGTTCGAGCTCCATGTTGGGCAAAAAGATTCAGGCATTCCAGGGGGTTGGACTAGATGGCTCTTGTGATACCTTCCAACTCTACAATTCTTAGGGTTGCCATGTGGCATCTTTTTCCAGGACACGTCCTGTTTTCCAGGGGTAAAATTTCTGTCCTGGACGATATTTTGTATTTGCCAAAATGTCCTCGTTTTTTTATTTGGTATTGGCGTTCCAGGTGTGTTAAAATTGGACAAGCACTAATTCAGACATGAGTGCTTAGTTATTCCTTTACTTATTTTCAACAGCTGTCTCCTTCTTTCCCATAAAAGAAAAATAAATCAAGGCATCAAACAATACGATAGGAAATTAAAATAATATCAAACAATAAAATGCATGCAATTGGGCTAAAACAACAATAAAACTCAATGTCAATATGCTGGAGAAGGAACCTGTCCATCAAAAGGAATATTGTGATGAGGCTGAACTTCCCTTCTTGTCATCAACATCAGAAAGCACCCATCCTGTGATTCACCTACTGTGCTTAAGATAGAGGGTGACAGGGCCTTAGAGGATTATCTCAGTAATTAAACTGAGAGCCAGCTTGACACAGTGGTTAGAGTTTCTGGGCTGAGCCTATAGGGCCATAAAAAGGTATCCTGCAGGATGAAACCATAGGGCTATCTAGGCCAGCATCTTCTCTCCCACACCTCCTCCCTCCCCCTGCCCCAGGCACTGGCAAATGTGTCCTCTTTTTTGCTCTTCAAAATATGGCAGCCCTAACAACTCTATGATTCAACAATGCATTGTTGCAGAGGGTAGGGTATGTGTGTGAGGCTTGCACATGCTAGAGGTGTTACATAGAGGTGTTACCATTTTAGGTGATTCAGTCTGTGATCCTGCAACCACTTACCTGTGAGTGAACCCCACCAAAGTGAATGAGCCTTCCTTTTGAGCAGACATGTACAGGATCACACTGTCAGTCCAACAATGTCATCCCGAGGCAGGCCAGTGCAATGCCGTTCATAAAATAGCTGCCCAAATAGCTCTGCCATGCACTGCCTTCAATTTTCACTGCAAAACTGTAAGCCTTATTTCAAGAGTTATGTGGCATATCAGCATGTCTAAAATCCACTGGGTATAAATGAAAAATGATTGCTAACTTTAAGAAGAATTGCACAACCTATTCCATGATTAAATTAAACATTCATCCCTACACCCGCAGCACAGACTCAAAATCCCATAGATGCATGGAGTTCTGTGCAAAAAGGCTGTCCCTTTTACTTTCATATCTGAAGAAGTCCATGCACCTGTTTTTGGATAGTTAAGTGAGTTATTAGTCAAAACTTTGGTCACAAGCAGCATCCAAATCAGTAAAATGATCATAAAACAATCAATGCCTCTAGGAAACTGCCTGCCTCTAAAATAAGGCAAAACTCCAACTGTCCAACAGAAAAGTAGCCATTGAACGCATGACTGGCTAACAAAAAGGCCCTTTAAAAACTTAGGCAGGAATAACCAGATGAACAAATATAAGATGGGGTACACCTAGCTTCCTAGTAGTGCATGTGAAAAGGATCTAGGGGTCTTAGACCATTAAGCTTAACATGAGTCAACAGTGTGATGCAACAGCAAAAAAAAGCTAATGCTATTCCAGGCTGTATCAACAGATGTATAGTATCCTGATCAAGGGAAGTAAAAATACTGCTCTATTCTGTCTTGGTCAGACCATACCTGGGGTACTGTGCCTAGTTCTGGGCACCACATTTTAAGAATATTAACAAGCTAGAATGTGTGTAGTGACCAAGATGATCAAAGGTCTGGAAACCATGCCTTATGAGGAGCATTGAAAAGAGGAGACTTGAGAGGAGATATGAGATCCATCTTCAAATATCTAAAGGGCTACAGAGGATACTAAGCTAAATAGACAATTTGAGCGACTTTGTTGATTATGCCTATTCTATACAAATGAGCTCTAAAGTTATAAAAATGCTACCTGCACATCTGAAGATTTCCAGTGGAAGTCTATTGGTTTCAAAGAAACCAGGAAAACCAGGCAAATGTCACATAATCACTGCACAGGTAATTTGTTATTGACAAAATGGGAAATGTCAGAAAAGAGGCAGTTCTAGGTCATCAACTGTTTATAAACAGAGGGGGAAATGTAAAATGTTTAACAAGACAGATATAATGATTAACACACTGTCCTTCATTGCTGGACTTAATTTGAAATTGTATGGGGTTTTTTGAAAAGTAAATGTTCTTACAATGGTAGCAGTTTCTTTAGGTATTTTGACAGATAAGAGCTATTCTGTTTCAAGGCATTCCAAAATAAAAAAAATATGGATTTGATAAGTGGCAATTATCAGGCAATGTGCTGTTTTCAGTTCTGATATATTTTGTATTTGTGATTTCAAATCATTTCCTTGATTCTTTCTTTTGCCACATTCTAGCATAACCAAGAGCTAGAACCTAGAGTGGAGCTTAGCAGATGAAGCACATGTGATTACAACAATGAAGGAATTAGTTACTGTGGTTCTCAGTGGCTCCTCCCTTGAGTTCTGAGGGACAAAGTAAATAAATGAGTTGCAGCCTGGGGTTATGGTTTAGAATTCTGCTCTGCAGTGGGGAAAACTGGTCTGGAAACCACAACCAAAGATGGAAAAGGTAGCCTTCTTAGCAAGCAAGCATCTTTAAAAGCCATAGCAAGTTTGAGGAGCCATACATGTTTTCCCTAATAGCAGGCAGCAGAGATATATCCAAATGATTACATTTCAAAGACTAACAAAGGTTTAGCAAGAACTGCAATACGTACGCCCAGATGATTTGGGATTCTTTCAGAATATTTAAATCTTCAGGTGGGGGCTAAATATAAGGAATAAATAAAAAGTGGCTCCATGCTCTTCACATTTACCATCCTATTGATTCTTGTAGGTTGAATTATGATTCCTTCATCAGAGATAAGCACTGAGGCTTAGAGAAATAACGTTATCTAAGGCCACCATTGAATTCATGGCTGAGCTAAAATTTGAACATAGGACTTCCAGGCTTGTAGCCTGTGCTTTATACTTCTGCATGCACAACCACTCTACCATATTCAATCAAACTGTCATTTTAAAATCCACAATGACAAAAGTTCAGTTGTGTGTATCAGTTCACTGATAGCGCTGTCATGTAGCTCAAGGGAGCACACAGAAATATAATGACTGTTATTAAATTGCAAATCTTCTAGTGCCACTGACTCCCAGGGATAAGTCACTTAACTTCTCTGGATTTAATGGAATGGGAATGCAAGTAATTCCTTACTTCATAGGGCTGATATAAGGTGGTAATTGACATTTACAATGTGGCACACAGTTGTAAAAGCTTTTCCTTGCTTTCATTTCACAGCAGTAGTTCTCAATACTCTGTAATGTGAAAGCATCATGCAGATTTCTGAACGTGTTGCCGACATTCAGGCTAAACGCTTCCCAGCTGAGATGCGAGAAGGCACGGTACTTCAGAAGCACTTCATATCGGGATGCAACCAACTAAGTGTTACTCAGAGGAGACCCATTGAGATGAATGAACCTCAGTTAGTGATGCCAATGAGCTTCATCTACTCTGAGTAGGACTAGAATTGGCTGCAACCCATTTTATCAGAATCCATCAGTGTTGGGTGGGACCTAAGCATTTATCTAGTCCAAACTCCTGCTCAGTGTAGGAATGGCAGTGTAGGAGGATGCATCCCTGACAGATGGCTGTCCACCTTCTGCTTTAACAGCTCAGGAGAAGGAGCAGCCACCACCTCTCAATAATCTCTTACTTTTTGGAAGCTTCTCTTAGTGTTGAGCTGAAATTATTTTCACACATTGGCTCTGATAATGGTTGGCTGATTCTGTGTGATGATGAGTATGGAATGTTCCATCAAAATGCAACACATGAAAAAACCGCTCTCTAATTCTCTTAGCAGATGTTTTTCCTAAATATTTGCCTGCCATCTAGTGGCTCAAAAAAGTAGTTTCGATTAACACTTTTGTCGCTGAAGAAACACACATTTATTTCAATGTGATTGTTCCTTCGGTAAGCCGTCCTAAAGGGAAAATGTTTTTTAAAATTCTTTGAAAATGTTGTGGCAACAATCTTGGTTTCATAAAATGTTCTCCCAATAGAGGTTTGTGCAGTGAATTGCCATTAGATGTGCTGATTGTTTGCAACTAATACAGTATTCCATCTTTGTATTTTCCCTTTTATTCCCACAGCAGCTCTGTTTAATGGGTATGTTATGTCAGCTATATGTTGTATCCACTCTAGGCAATTAAAGTGCATGGCTTCAAAGATGCTGGGAGCTGTCGTTTGTTAAGGGTGCTGGGAATTGTAGCTCTGTGAGGGGCAAACTACAGTTCCCAGGATTCTTGGGGAAAAGCCATTGCTTTGCATTTATGGTGTTTGGAAGCCATGGCACATGTGCAACATGTGACAGGCAGTATGAGATTCTGGCATTCTTGGATTGAAGAGACCTTCTGTGCACCTTTCCTCCAAGCAGCCACATTTTGGCACTCTACCCAAATAGACTGGCTCAGTTTTAACATAATAGGTAAAGGTAAAGGGACCCCTGACCATTAGGTCCAGTCGTGGCCGACTCTGGGGTTGCAGCGCTCATCTCGCTTTATTGGCCGAGGGAGCCGGCGTACAGCTTCCGGGTCATGTGGCCAGCATGACTAAGCCGCTTCTGGCGAACCAGAGCAGCGCACGGAAACGCCGTTTACCTTCTCGCCAGAGCAGTACCTATTTATCTAGTTGCACTTTGACGTGCTTTCGAACTGCTAGGTTGGCAGGAGCAGGGACCGAGCAACAGGAGCTCACCCCATCGCGGGGATTCAAACTGCCGACCTTCTGATCAGCAAGCTCTAGGCTCTGTGGTTTAACCCACAGCACCACCCACGTCCCATTTTAGCATAATAAGACATTTTTATCATAGCCATTCCGGATGAGGCTAAACTGATGCATGATTGGAAAAAAAAAACATTTTAAAAATAGCAAATTTAGTACATGAAAGAAAAACAGTGCAAGTAAAACACAAACAGAGCCTGTTTATTTTACAAACAAGAGGCTCACTTTGTGCACAGTGCTTCTCACTTACACAAAAAGGCAGTGGGGGAAAAAAAAGAAGCAAACAGCAAGGCTCTCCAGGGAACAAGCACAATCCTAAAGCCTGGCTGGCTAGGTGTGGCCATCAGCTCAGAGAATGCTCAAAACCAATATGATTCTGATACAGGCTAACACTGGGCTAGCATATGGGGCTGTTCTTGAAGCAGTACATGCCTCCTCCCCAGTGCTTTTTTTCTGGGGGTACGCGGGGGTATGCATACCCCTAAACATTTTGTGAATCTAAGTTTGGCCTCATTGAAGGGTAGCATTTCAACATGAGTAGGAAAACTCCTAAACTTTTTTTTAAAAAGGAAAAAAGCACTGCTCCTCCCTATCTGCTATAGTGGTTGTGCTGGATAGGCTTCAAAACATGGTATGGAGTGTAGCAGGGCTAAATTTCAGGCAGTACAACCAGTCTCACGGTTTTCCAGTTTAGAGATACATGGGAAGGAACTCTTTGCCATAGCTATACTTTTCAGTTGGATGGTATGGTAGGCCGTCAGTAGGATGGTATGGTATTTTTATTGGGGAAATGTTGGAGGCTATAGTAGGAAGCTATCCTTATTTCCATTGGGTAAATGTTAAGAGTCTATAGTAGGATGCCCATATATTCATTGGGGAAATGTTGGAAGCTATAGTAAGACATCCCTATTTTCATTGGATAAAGGTTGGAAGTTATAGTAGGACGGCCCTATTTTCATTGGGGAAATGTTGGCGGCTATAGTAGGATGTCTCTATTTTCAGTGGGGAAATGTTGGTGGGTATGGCAGGATGTCCTTATTTTCAGTGGGGAAATGTTGGAGGCTATAGTAGGACATTCCTTTTTTCAAACGATAAAGGATAGAAGGTATAGCAGAGCGTCCCTATTTTCACTGGATAAAAGTTGGAAGGTATAGTAGGGCGTCCCTATTTTTAATGGGGGGAAATTGGAGGGTATCATAGGACGTCCATTTTTTCATCGGAGAAACGTCGGAATATAGGACGCTCTCCGACCCCCGAGCCATCTGAAGGCAATCCTGCATTTAAAAAAATGTTTCACGTTTTACTATGTTTCCAATATATGTCGGGGGCCGCCCAGACTGGCCCACCAGTCAGACGGGTGGGAATATAAATCGTAAAAAAAACCAACACCCCATGACGGAAGGGGACGTCCCTATTTCCATGGGAGAAAACGTGGAAACGCTCCCACTTCAGCAGCAGGGGAAAACATTGAAGCCGCCCACCCCAAACAAAGGTGCCAACCCTGGGGGCGCCCACCTTAACCCGCCCTCGCCCAAAGCCAACCGTTCCGGAAAGAGGAGAGCCAACGGCTCCCTCGGGCCTAACCTCCCCTTCCTTTGCAGTTGACGCGCCTCTTAACCTTCCGTCGGAGTCAACGCGGCGGCGGCGGCGCTTGGTCCCTCAGGCCCGCTTCCTCCGGCGCCGTTTAACGACTCCCCGCCTCGCGCCCGGCTGCCTCCTCGCGAGGCGCACGCGGCCCTTGGGCGGCCTGGCGCGCTTTCCCCTCAGGCCTCCTCGCGGGGGCCTTTCTTCCCACTTCTGGTTCCTTCTCCCCGAGGGCCGCGTTTCCCCCTCGAAAAACGCCGCCGAGCCGCTTCCTCCTCCCTCAGGGCCGCTTTCGCCGGGGCTGTTGCTGCCCTCGCCTCGAAGCCGGCGGCTGTAGTTGGAAAGGCCGCCGCTTCTTCGTGCCTCGCCTCAAAGGGGGAAGACCACTCCCCTCCTCGGATTCAGTCCCAGGTAAACGGGATTGTGGGGTTGCACCCCGAAACCTGGGGGGAGGGGAGGGGGAGAAATTGCGAAATTAAAAAAGGGCGGAAGGAAAGGGTTTCGTCCCGTTTCCCATCCTGCTTTCGAAGAGCTTCGGGGAGTCGAGGCTTGAAATTAGCCTTTTTCTCGCCCCCCCCTTTAAAAAAATACACGGTATTTTCTTGCTTCCTCGTCTTTTATTATGTCCCTTTTGACTTTCCAAGTGTTGGAATGAAAGTCGGTATTTTAGCTACCCGGAAGTGAAAGGAGCTTTTCTGCAGCCCCCCGAATATGTTCTGCAGCCGCGCCAATAAAAACCATCGTGTATGTGTATATGTTTGTGTGTGTGTGTATATATATATATATATGCGCACGCACACACACTATATATATATATATATATATATATATGCATACTGAGGGGTCTTTGGGAACCCCAATAAAATATTTGAGAAGGCCAGGCCTCCCCACAGTTGATGGGCATTTTAAAGAAGGTTGGAAAACGTTTATGGACTATATGGGAAATAATTGTGTATAGCTGAAAACGCAGGCAGCATTAAGATAAATTCAGCAGTGTAAATAGATTTTGGTGGATGCCATAATCATGGAATACTGAATGGTATAGTTTTTGTAAAATATGCAGGGATTTATGACATGTACAATGAACCATGGAAAGAGAAAAAGGGAAGTCATTGATATCTTAAGGATATAAAATTAGTATTTTAAATGGTAGGACAGAAAATTTAATAAAAAATTAAATACACACACACACATAAACAAAGTTGATGGGCATTGCCATTCAAATGGTGCGTGTTGCACACCACATCATGTGACTGATTATGCAGAGTGGGGATTACCCCCCCCCCCATATTTTATTCCAAGTTGACACAACTGTATCTATCTATCTATGAAATACCAGAATGGTAGCCCCATTTGTCTGTTGCAGCAAAATAACCTCCACGCGGCACCTTAAAGAGTAAACAAATAAGCTTTCTCTGGTCTACCCAGTACATGTGTACATATATGCGGTTTAGTATTAATAAGCAGGGTAGATGGGTTTAAAATGTGGCCATTTGTATCCTGATTTAGGCTCGGCTGATCTCAATCCGGTTTCCCAGTGGTGCTGCTTTGCACATTTCCTGGAAGCAGTCATGCGAATGTGATCCCAGAATCACAACATAGCAGGGTTGGAAGGTACCACAAGGCTCATCTAGTCCAACAGTGCAGGAATCTTTTGCCTAACGTGGGACTTGAACCCGCGACCCTGAGGTTAAGAGTCTCAGGCTTTGCCGCATGTTAGTATGATTGTTGTTTACATTTCCTCATTTTTACAAGCAAGCTTTGTATCTACAAGGAAGCTTTGTATCTCTATGTTTTGCTTGCTATCCTTTTATCTATAGATGGAATGTATTTAAAAGAGCCTTTCTTAGGACCAGCATATTTACCGTTTGTGAGGCTAATAGTCCAGTCCTGTACAGGTCTACTCAGAAGTAAGCTCCATTGAATTCAAGTGGGACTTTGGCAAGTGAGTGGAGGACTTTAGCAGAAACAAGGAACATAGGAATATGCACATTGGACAGTTCTCCTCTTCCTTCCTGTGTTGTTCATTTCTGCTTCACCTTTGCCCAGCTGCACCCTCACAAAAACAAAATATTAAACAAAATTGCTATGCCCATTATTGTCCAGGTTGGTCAGATTTAAAAAAGAAAAGAGGATAGTATTCCTGCATCTTTAATAATTGTTCAGTAGGGGGATTTTGAGCCCTATGTTGGGCAAAAGATTCCTATATTGCAGGGGGTTGGACTAGATGACTCTCATAATCCCTACCAACTACAATTCTATGATTCTGTTAAATATATGGAAGCACTGTCCTCTTTTTCAAAAACCTGGCCACTTTACAAGAGGTTGAAACAAGGTTTGATAGTTCCTGGGTAGACTATAGCACAGGCATAGGCAAACTCGACCCTCCAGCGCTGGTCCTGTTAGCTGGGGATGATGGGAGTTGTAGTCGCAAAACATCTGGAAGGCCGAGTTTGCCTATGCCTGCTATAGCAGTTTTATAAAGTGAAAATGAAAAACCTGCTTTCAGTGCAAGTATTCATATCTGAGACGTATTAAAATGTTCTTCAGTTACACAGAAAAACCTTTTACTTGATGTATCTGGTAAAAGCACTGATTCAGTTTAGAGATGCACCGTAGGGATATCTAGATTATTTAATATTTGCCTAGATGTTGTTTAGTCATTATTTAAAATAAACTTTGTGTTTGAATTTAAAACAATAGAAACAATGCAGTTTCTATTTTTAATTGTTTTTCTCCACCCTGATAAATGAGTGCAGGGGAAGAGAGGGAAAAGACGGTTTGGTCAAGTGTTAATGGGATGCAAAAAATAAAAATTGATTAAAGCACAAAAACACACACACTTAAGATTTTAAACTACATGACTTTTCCATGTTTTCTTCAATGCTTTACAGATTTTTTTGACTCCTCCTCCCCCAGCTGTTTCTGGACAGATGAAAAGCTGTGAATATTTTGAGATATGGCAGGTGAGATAAGATTTTTGAAAAATGTTTTGGAGAGAAGATGAAGCAAGAACAGCAGTTTACTGGTCTTTCTGCACTTTGCATACATCTTGTCCCTTTAGTTTGTTTACATATTAGTCTACTTTTGGGTGATGTTTAAAAACCCTGCCGTTCAACAGCACTGTCTCATGGTTTGCATGTCGCTGAGATCTACCTTTTTAATGCTAACTGTAAAATATAGAGATGACTTTGCAAAACATTGTGAACATCTTTCATTTCTTATTACTTCTTATTAATTTCATAAATTGCATCTTTCATCTCAGTCCATTCTTTCCCTTAAATTGCTTAACTTTTTACTCTCCTTCCAGTTTTCTCTAGTTTCCTTACCTGTATTATTGCCAACTGTACTAGAACTGAAGAATGCATTTCCCCACTATGTGATAAAAGAAATCATTTGATTATTTAGATGACTCAGAATATTGGACTGTTAGTTATGTGTAGAAATAGGCACTGTCTGACTGATCTTTTGAGGCTCAGTAATTTAGGCTTAGGGTATCACTTAAACTTACCGTATAGATTTGGTTATATTTATATATTAGAAAGATTTAGGTAAAGGTAAAGGGACCCCTAACCATTAGGTCCAGTCACGGACGACTCTGGGGTTGCGGCGCTCATCTCGCTTTATTGGCCGAGGGAGCTGTCGTACAGCTTCTGGGTCATGTGGCCAGCATGACTAAGCTGCTTCTGACGAACCAGAGCAGCACACGGAAACACAGTTTACCTTCACGCCGGAGCTGTACCTATTTATCTACTTGCACTTTGACATGCTTTCGAACTACTAGGTTGGCAGGAGCAGGGACTGAGCAATGGGAGCTCACCCTGATGCGGGGATTCGAACCGCTTATCTTCTGATTGGCAAGCCCTAGGCTCTGTGTACATAGAAATAAACGTTTACATAATTTCCAGTAATATATAAAGAGAAGCATGGTATTCAAATATGATATTTCTTTTGATGTAGTAGAAGATAAATATAATATACTTGAGACTTTGAGTTGGTGTGCCCTATTGGCAGGGAAATCTGAAAACTGGAATGGTATCAAACCTGATGACAGAACTGTCAGTTAAAGTCATATATTACCTGATTATGTCAAACTTTATTTTGGTTTTCCAGGTAGGAGAGTTTCATCTTTGTCAACAAAATTTCTAGATGTAGACCTGAAGATTACTGATGTAAACTACCATCCAAAAGAAGTTCTTGTGAAATTTCAAGGCAGATATAACACAGATTGTGAGTTTGATTACCATATATTGCAAAATGAAATACAGCAGGTATCCAAAGTGAAAGACAGTGTTGGGATTGGCGAGTTTTGTTTAGTAGAAGACTCTGCTTGTGGAGAATGGTACAGAGGAAGAGTAGTACAAAAGAAGAACTACATCTATGAAGTATTTCTTATGGATAGTGGGAAAATCCTGGCAGTTGACGAGACACATATTGCTTCTGCTATTGATGAGTTGTTTCAACTTCCTCCCAAGATGGTTTGTGGAATTTTTGGAAATATACTTCCAATTGAAGAAAAATGGACTCCAAAAGCTCTGAATTACTTTTCGTCATTAATAGATTTGCAGATTAAAGGCCAAATACAAGCCATTCTACCACACCAAACATTTCTGCTTGACGTGCCAAAAATCACTAGTGATGTGGTTGAATTAAAATTAGGCAAACTTGTTGATGGAGATACATTCTGTCTTATTGTAGAAATGTTAACTGAATTGCCACAAGAGCTGCTTTGTAAGCAGATGCCAGATTTACTGCAACAAAAATATACAAGGCCGGATTCTGTATTATGTAATGATCGAATTCAATCAGAAGTTCAACCAATTATGAATAACCTTCAGCCGCTTTTATCTATTGGTGGGATAGAGAAAGTAAAAATATCAGTGGCAGTCAGTCCAAGTAAATTTTATTGTCAACTGCTGCAATACCAGGTGGAGATGGATGAGTTGACAGCAAACATGTCTTCCTGTTATGAAACTAGTACAGAAAATGTTCCATCCTGTGAGAATCTAGGAGTCCTCTGTGCAGCAAGACGGAGAAATGGCCAGTGGCATAGAGGAGTGATACAACAGCTGCTTTCTGATAACAAAGTGAATATTTGGTTTATGGATTTTGGCAGCTATGAAGCTGTGCCTTCCAGTTGTGTTTTAAAGCTTCAACCAGAATTCATGTCAGTACCTAGGTTTTCAGTTCCTTGTGCACTTTCCTGTCTTAGTTCTCAGGATGAAACTGTAAGAAACGATCAACTAAAAGAATTCAAGGAGGCCTTGCTAAGACAAAGTGTTGTTCATGCCCACATTGATTTATTCAATGCTGATGAACATTTGTATTATGTTACACTTCTTAAACAAGAGTCTGCAATGCATTATGAACATCTACCACAGGGGAGTGAAGTGATTCCAAAACTTGACCCATCCTTTAAGACTAAAAAATCCTGTACAGGTGAGGATATAAAAATCTCTGATACAGATCCTGTTTATGCCGACTCTGTTCATAGGAATACTGTACAATCAGGAGATGATTCAGATTCAAAAGGCACTCATTTAATGTGTTCTCCTTTAAGAATTCCTTGCAAGAGAGCAGAAATGCAAATCGGTTCTGTCTGTGTTGCTTTTGTAGTATATGTCTTGAATCCATCAAATTTTTGGGTTCAAACTATTGATTGTCGAGATGAGTTTGAAGCCTTGATGAAGAAAATTGCAGCTGTGTATGATACAAGTGAAACTGTTGACAAGATTCTAGAAAATCCAGAACCTGGAAAACTATGCTGTGCCCGGTATAGTAAAGATATGCATTACTACAGAGCTGTTATCAGGGAAGTGATGGACAAGAGTATTGATGTTTATTTTTTAGATTTTGGCAATACTGAAACTGTACCACTCTTCAATGTGAGAGTTTTGCTTCCAGAGTTTCTAGAATTACCAGCTTTGGCCGTTTGTTGTTCACTTGCTAATGCATTTCCAATCGAGGACATATGGATTAAAAAAGAAACTGACTTCTTTAAAAGCATTGTGTTCGACAAACCGCTCACACTGCATGTAATTGCACAAAAAACCAATAAGTATATTGTCAGTGTGCAGTATATGAATAACTCAGAACAAACTGATGTTGTTTTGTCCATGGTTCAGGCTGGATATGCAGAATATTGGGAAGTAAAGCAAGATCCCTTTCAGAACATTGTGGGAGATTCTAAAATGCAATGCTCAAAACAAAAGATACATAAAAAGAGTTGGCAGAAGAAGACTAAATTGCGGAGTCCTCTGACAAAAGAGCATGCTGTTACCTTCCCGCGGTGGGAAAACACTCTTTCAGATAAATTGGGAAACACATCTGGGAAAGGTGATACCCCGAAGCCTTATAAGGAGTATCGGTTTAAACCAGGAACTGTATTTGATGTCGTATGTTGTCGTAGTACTTCACCAGGTAACTTTTTCTGTCAGATGCGATCTAAACTGCCAGAGCTATTTAACTTGATGCAACAAATTCAGTATTATTACAACACTCAAAAAAGCCCATATGAACTTGGACAACATGCCTGTGTTGTGAAACATTCTAAGGATGGGAAGTGGTACAGAGCTGCTGTACAGCAACATGTGTCCGAGACAGAAGTTGATGTAGTATTTGTAGACTATGGTAACCAGGAAAGAGTTTTGTCAAAAGACCTCCAAGCTATTCTTCCAGAATATCTGGTCTTGGAATGCCAAACATTCAGATGTTGTCTTAATACGGTCACTGAATCCTTAACGTTTGACCCGTACAACTGGACTGCAGAGGCATGTAGAGATTTTGAGCGCTTTGTTTCCTCTTCTAATGATCTGCTGACCTGTACGATTTCTGCCCTAATTCTTCGGAGCCCCAACTATTTATATAATATCGTTGACTTACAGACTCCATTCACTACTTCGCAGCAGTTTCTCTTAGAATGTGGTCATGCCCAGTCTCGCTCTTTTGAATTCGCAAGGTCCCTTGTGCCGCCATTCTCTCTGTACACATTTTATTATTCATCTTTTAACATGAAGATTGGAAATGAAGAAGGGGTGTGTATAACACATATACACAGCCCTACAAAATTCTATTGCCAACTAAATAGAAATGTAGGTGCTATAGACAAACTGTTTGAAAAGATTGCAGAGGTTAGTCAAATGACAGGCTATACAGACCAGCTAAACACTTGCAATTTATACTTAGCAAAATATTTTGAAGATGGCCTCTTCTACAGAGCTTTAGCATCTCCTATGGGCTCATCAGATTACTTGCAAGTATACTTTGTAGACTTTGGGAATAAACAATCAGTAGCAAAAAGAGAAATGATTCCTATTCCAAATCATGCTTCAGAATTATTATTTACTCCTATGCAAGCTATCAAGTGTTACCTTTCAGATCTAAAAGATGTTGAAATTACAACTGAAATAAATACATGGTTTGAGAAGAATTACTTGGGGAAAGAAATGAAGGCAGTAATCGTATCTAAGGAATCTGATGGGCAGCTTGGTGTGGAGTTGTATCATGGAGATCTACAGATAAATAGGAAGATTAAAGAATTATTGAAGCACACACAAAAATATGGTGTTGACCCAAAAATTATAAACACACCCGCAGAAAAGACTGTTGGAGACAAAAACGTGTTGCATAAAGTCAAGTCAGAAGCAGTTAAAAGAAAAATTAAAAATGAAGTAGTTGGTTGGAAGAGAGAAGCAGAAAATGAAGCAAATCCTGGCAATCAGAGTGCTGGAAAAGAAATTGCATTTGATCTGCAGAAACAGAGTACAAGGTCTGTAAAGCTCCCAGCAGCCTCAGATAATACAGAATTGGCCTTGCAAAGCAATCCGAGACAGAGATGCAGAGATACATATTGTGAATCTTGGACTGAGTGTGATAGCCCTCCTCGGGGTTTGAAGAAGATGCCTCCAGATAAAGAGTTGCAGATCTTGAAACAAAAATATTTTGGAGAAGAAAGGTGTAGTGGTACCAGGAAAAAGTACACAAACCTTCCACAGCATCATATCCAGGCAAATTCCAAAATGTTAGTTTATATTTCTTCTATAACTAGCATGTCAAGTTTCTATATTCATCGTGCTGAGGATGAGAATGAAATTGTGCAGCTTGCTGAGAAGCTGAATGGAGACTCACTGGTTCTAGAGCCAGAAACACATGCTGAACTCGAAGAAGGTGACATGGTTTTAGCAGAGTATGAAGCTGATTGCTGCACATATAGAGCTGTCATTAGAGGTATTAAATCAGAAAAATCTTTTGAAGTAGAGTTCATTGACTATGGTAACTCATCAACTGTGAATGCATCAAAAATATACAAGATGGAAAAGGTTTTCTTAAATTTTCCAAGATTCAGCATACACTGTTTTCTTAGCAAAGCAAGATATGCATTTCCAGATAAAAGTTGCAGTAGCGATATGGCTGCCTGCATTGCCAGTAAAGTAAATAATCAACTATTAGCGTTAGAGTTTTTACAACAGCATGGTGAACAGTGGGAAGTTGATGTATTCTGCCATGAAATGTCTATGATCAATGAGTTAGGTTTACAGAATATGAGTCTGTTAAATCTTAATGAAGTCGTAAAACATCTTCCAATAACAGATGTAGATACTGATGGTAATGACCAAAGTAAAAAATCAGAAAGCCGAAACGTGTCTGAAGTATTAATAAAAGCTGGACATCCTTGGGAGAGCCACCCTAAGATTCCCTGCCAAAAAATAAAGCCTGGACAGCTAGAATTGGCTGAAATAGGTCACATTTCAAGAGATGGACGTTTCTATATAAAATTGAAGAAGGATGCCCAAATATTTTTTGATTTAAACGTGATGATTACCCAAGAAGCTGAGAAGAACTCCTTGCTTGCAGTGGAAAATATTCAAGAAGGGTTAGAATGTTTGACAAAATCAAAAGAGACCTTGAAATGGTATCGATCTGAAGTTATTAAAAAGTATGTGAATGAGGGTCACATGTTAGTTTTTTTCATGGACTTGGGAGAATATGAAATGGTGTCATTTCATGACACACAGATACTTAGTGACAAGTTCAGGAGTATTCCCCGGAATGCAATGCCTTGTAAATGGGCTTGGGCTGAAAACCTAGTGGACATGTCTCTTGAGAGCGTGTTGAAGATTATAAAATGCCATGAGATCAAGATCTTGTTTCTGAGATACCTAGAATCTACTTTTATGTGGGAAGTGGATATTTTAATAGATGGGATTCTCCTTTTGGAATACTGGAATCAAAGATCTTGCCAAAGGGTGCTGGAGAAATGTAACTTACCAGAAAATATAAAAATGGGCAAAACAATGCCTAAATTGTCATTCAGACCAAATTCTGTTTCCTGGGCACCATTCCAGAATGATCAGTATTATACTGGGTTTGTGACGTCTGTCACTGATCCTTCAAACTTCTGTATCCAGTTAGAAGACTCATTTAAGTCTCTAAACGCTTTGTTCAAGTTACTCTCTGACCTTCCAGAAAACCTGCCTACAATTCCACAGGAGCTTGTCGTTCCTGGTACCAGTTGCTTGATAAAGATTGGATCTAATGAAAAGTGGAACAGAGTTGAAGTTTCTGAAGTCTCCAAACTCTCTAATCTCTTAATAGTTACTTTTATTGATGATGGGTTATCAGTTCCCATCCCCATTTCTGATAGTCACAAGCTGAAAGTTATCCCAGAAGAGCTTGCTAAATTACCTCGATTAACTTATCCTTGCTCTTTGTTTGGAGTGTCACCTGCTGATGGGCAACACTGGAGTGATGAGGCAAAGCTTAAAATTCAAGAATTTCTTAGTAGACAAGGTCTCGCATTTAAGCTGAAACAGTGCCACAGTGGGCAGAAGCTAGAGGCTGTTGTGTTATGTGATAAGAACAATGCAGCAGATATATTGGTTGCTTCCAGATGTGCTGTGTATTCAAAAACTCCATATTCTTTTGGTTCAATTAATAGTGCAGAGCTTCATCCATTGAATTCACAGATATTATGTGATTCATCACAAATATGTGGTCAGAAGAATTTGGATGCACAGATTGCTTTGCTGTCAGTTGAGGGGGGAAAGCCACAAAATTCAAGTTTGCAACTCAGTTGTGCTTGTGTTAATGTTTCGAGAGGGAACAGCTCAAAAGGACTGGGTTCAAAGAGAAAAGAGTGGCACAAAGCTTGCTTGCACATTAATGGAAGAATGACTGAAACTCGGCTTAAGTATGACAAGAGATTTTGTGAGAGAGAAAGGCGACTCTATAGTACAGGCATACTGTCAGAATCAATCCACGAAATGCATGATCTTATGGGACTGAGCACCAAGATTGATGGGATGCAAATTTATGAAGAGAGCTAATCACACGAACGCTTCACTAGAAAGGTCAGTTTCAAACGTCTTTTAAAACTACCTTTGTTCTTTCCTATGTATTTAATAAGAAATATATTAAACCCAGATGTAAATGCAATGAAGCCTGGGATCCAAAGAATCATGTACTTAGTTTTCCATGCCCAAGGAGGGGGCACTGTGAGCTTCCATGAACACTGGGATCAATTGCCCTATGTTGTAGTAGTAGTAGTAGTAGCAATAATAATAATGTTTATTATTTATACCTTTGCTATCTGGCTGGGTTTCACTAGCCACTCTGGGCGGCTTCCAGCACATAGAAAAATAAGATAAAATGTCAAACATTAAAAACTTCCCAATACAGAGCTGCCTTCAGATGTCTTCTAGTCTTCTAAAAGTTGTGTAGTTCTTTATATCGACATCTGATGGGAGAGCGTTCCACAGGGAGGGCACCACTGCTAAGAAGCCCTCTGCCTGGTTCCCTGTAACATTTCAGTGAGGGAACCACTAAAAGACCCTCAAAGATGGACCTCAGCGTCCAGGCTGAACAATTTTTTTTAGGGAAGGAAATAGGGGCATGTTTGTTCCGGAAAAGTCTTAGTCATTGTCATATTCATAATAAATCCTTCTCTTTCACACTCGCAAATTCCTCTTCGTAGGAATTTAAAAGTGATCTAGTCTTGACACTTAAGTTTGGTTTGGCCCCAATATTTTATCCACATGAATGTGACTCTGTACAGTTCCAGTTTGGCAACAGTGGAAACTTCATGTATTTCTGGAAGTGATTATGCGAAGTCCCCACATATGTAAGGCATGTCTTTGAAGTCATGCACAAAGAATTTCAGGTCAGTTGTTGTTTTTGAAAATGTTTCATTTGCTGTCTACATAGAGCATCACTTTACATTAAACCTAGGCAGTTTATTGTGTTTGTTTTGTCCCTAATCATGTATTGAAAATTACTTGCTTTCCAGGTTAAAATCTGATAAGAAGAATTTCAACAGTTGGAAACAAGTAATGGATCTGGATGCCAGTCAGTGCATCAACTTTCACGAGAGAAATTTTAAAAGGAATTATTTAAAAGGAATTACACTTCCGTAATCACAAAAATAACAACAGTCCATGAACCCGAAACGTTTGTAACAGGTCTACAAGGTTGACCTTAAGCTTGCAGCTTTTTGTTAATTTTCTCTTGATTTAATATTTGCTCTTGTAATGATCAAAAGGGAGTGGTATCCTTGCCAACAAGTGCACAATGTCCTCTTACATAGTATAACGTTTCACCACCATTTTATTTTATTATTGAAATTTATACTAATACATAACAGTCACTTGCAAGTTTTGTCTGGTTATCAAAAATAACCAGCGTCAACCAACCAGATTCTGAGACATTGTAATAAATGTTCTACATGGTTTGATTGATGTACTCAAGGTGGAATTGCTCATATATTGGTTTTCATAAGGGAAAGTAGTGTGAGAAGCAACAGCTTTTTGTTCTGACATTTGCTGAGTTTTGTGGGTGTTTTCTTTAAACACACTGTTATGGGAACTGCGCCTACTGCCAGTCTAATGTTTACCAACCAAAAAAGCTTGATCTGATCTAAACTTCATAGGAAGTTGGTCTTTTGATTTCAGTGAACTTATTTCCAAGTAAGTGCATTTGCTGAATGCAAATATAGTTGCGAACTAGCACACGTTTTGGCATTTTCAGTGTTTCTTTTTACAATCTGCTGCTTAACTCACACATTAATTAGGACCCAACACACACACACAAGTTTACATGCAAAACAATGTGAGCAAACTCTGCAATACATTTTATTGTATGTGTGTCATGTTGTAATAGGAAAAGCTGTAATACATGTAATGAATATTTAGTTATTAGGTCATAAGGAAAAGTAGTGCTGAATATTGATTTGTGTTTTAGCTGTCTTTCCTATTTTAATTTTCTTTGTGTATGTTATTTGATTAGTCATAACGCTGATGCTTACATCACAGGTATAAATGTATGTGTATCAGGTGTCCAGGGAGCCTCATACGTGTACCAGGGCACGCTGAATCTCACATTTCTACTGCTGAAAGTCATGCTGCACTGGATCCCAATTGTGAAGGTTCCCCAACTTAGTGGAGTTCCATTGAGAAGTGGAAGTTCTGCCTGTAGCTCAGTTTATTCTGAGACACATGTACACCTCTCCAGTCTGCTCATATACTTGATCTGCAGCATGTCTTATAATCTGCTGGTTAATTTCCACAAATGGATGGTATATTTTAACCAATGAATCTTGTTTGTGCCTATGTGATTTGTTTAACACAATTGGCTTTAAAAGTGTTCCCACATTAGTCTTTTGACGGGACAAACAGAGATTGGTTGCTTCTGCATCTTCATCTATAGGAACTAGAATTGTGTGTTGATGTACTATCGTATACGTCAGAATTTTCAAAGTAATCCAGTTGCTAGATTTTATTCAGCTACCAATTTAGCTTGTATGCTAGGAAATATGCATGTAGCATAAAAATTATGCACATTCTTATTGAACCTACTAGAAAAAAGCAGGCCTTTAAAATTTGTATTTTAAGTTTTGCAGGATATGTGTAAACTCTGTACATACTTTGTTTACTGAAATGAGAGTGCTCTTTTATTTAAACTGATGGTAACAGCAATAAATCTGTGGTAAAGGTTTAGGCTGTCTATTGCGTTCTAGTACAACACTGTCCTAGCACTTGCTGAAAGCTTACTTAGTAGAAACAAATATAAAATTAAGTCCTGCTGCAATCAAATAAATGCTACTTTTACATAAGGTATCAGGGACAGGGGTTTTTTCATGCCAAGCAAAGCAATCATAATATACAGTAAATCATATAACTGCTGCTGCTGTTTGGAATCATTTGGTGCTGTTTCAGTATTAAAAGCAGGAAGCAGTTGGCATTGGTTTTTTTCCAGGGTTTGTTGTGAAGACATTGTTGGTATTTAAGTACTGCTGTACCTTTTTCTGGGGGAGTATAAGGACCAGCAACCAGTGTAAATCTGCAGTAAACAAGAAAAACTACAAGGTACGCTTAGATTTTAAATACACATTTTCTCTTTATTAATGAGAAGCCCAGAATGACTCTCACAATTGAATGTCAAGTACAACAGTATATCATTATACTAAATTGACTGCAAAAAAAAGGAGGAAAGGAGGAAATTGCTTTACAAAAAGTTGTTGAAAAGCCAAGTCAGGAGGGTCGTATTTCTCCCAAACACTTGGGAAATGTTGAAGACCACAGCATTAGAAGCTCAACCCAAGTGTATACCAGAGATTGCGAAAGGTACCACCAGGGCCAAGAGGATGCCAGCAAACAAAGAGTCAAAGAAGCTGACGGCTTTCGCCTTGGGTGGCTTGAAAAGAAGGTAAGATAAATTCATGGAGGATAAGTTTATCATTGGCTATTGAACATGAGGATGTAGTCTTTCTACAGTCAGAAATGACTCTGAATACCAGTTGCTGGAAACCTCAGCAGTGGAGAAGTGGGCTTGCCATAGGCATCTAATAGGCCTATATCGACTAACTGACCACTTAATGGGTTCTGAGCATCCTTAGATTTTGAGCATAAAGCCTGATACCTCCCCAAACATAGCCATCCGCTAGGCTACAGCGGCCACTTGGCAGCCTGCTATTCTCCCTTTGATACAATATATCCCTCTAGCTCTTGGCAAGAAAACGAGTCCCTTTTGAGTATGCCCTCTTGTTTGAAATGATAAAACATTCTTAGAATAACCTTTGCCACATAAGGGACGTGCTTTGTCTGCAAGCAGTAAGCAATGCTCTAAATATTTTCTTTAAAAATCCACAGCAACGCAGTGGGTTTAGCTAAAGTTTTTCTTAGAGTCATTTTGTGGCCTGGCCCAAGAAACTTCTTGGAGGACGTTCCATATGTGCATCCTCTGCTCAACACCTGCTGCTGAATGAAATTCCAGAGGACCTCTTGATATGGCAGTCGCAGGATGTGTGCCCCACCCCTAGCAGCGGTGGAAATCAGTCTAAACACATTTTGGGGTGAAAATGGGCTGCAGCTTTCTAGGAGTACAACTAGGAAGCAGGGTTGGCATGGCAGCTGGGCAGGGATCTGGTTTCCTATTCTGACAACCCTTGCCCATTGGAATGCATGTCCTAACTTGCCACCTGGGCAACTCCCTTGAGAGCTGGCCAGTGTTGGACACCAGTTTTGCACAGGCAATGCTTGGGGGAGGTGGAGCTTTGCTTTGGAAACTGCTGCTGTACATTGTAGAAACCAGTCCAGCTGTTGCCCATAGAAGCACACTCCACTACCCGACTTGCTTAACTCCACTCACTGTTGAGTTGTTCTTTCACAAGAGCTTCCTCCCAGCTTGCTTTTCTAGAAATTGAGACTTTAAATGGGAAGCAAGGTAGCGGCAGCCATAGAGGAACTAATTTGAACTGCCCGGTGCTAATGTAACATTTTCTTCTACTTGGCAAGTAATTTTTTTAACTCCTGTGATATTTCCCTCTCTACTATCGAGGGCACAGCAAGAGCTTTTGCATTTGAGGGTATAGTGTGACTGATTCAACTTATTCCCCACAGCAGCAGCCTTTATCGTTCTGGGCTGGAGGAAGCATATCTGAAGGAAGACACGAAGGATGTTCACTCTTTGACAGAACATTTTGGTCCTAAAACAGCACAGAAAATCTCTTGCTTAGTGCTAAATTTGTTTTAGCGATCACAGTGATTGATAGGGTAATGCTTTTCAGTAGGTTATTCCTCTAACATCATCATTATTTATCAACCCAATTAATGTTAACAATATTACCGTATTTTCCGCCCTATAGGGCGCACTGGCCCATAGGACGCACCTCCTTTTTGGGGGGCAAATGAATAAAAAAAATTATTCCCCACCCCAGCCCCCAGAACAGGCTGCTATCCGCAAGCCTTGCGAGCCCAGCGGCAACTCCCGCCGGGCTTGCAAGGCTTGCGGATAGCTTCCTGAAGCCTGCATTCGCCCCATAGGACACACACACATTTCCCCTTCATTTTTGGAGGGGAAAAAGTGCGTCCTATAGGGCGTAAAACACGGTAGTTATGTCATAGAATGATACATATAATGAGAATATCATTTGAGCATAACCAAAGCCCTGCTCAGGGATACTTCCTACTACATGATTTCCATTGTATTTGCGATGTCTGTGTGTGTGTGGGGGGGGTGTTATAGCCCTTGTAAAATATGTGCTTAATGTTCATTATACACTGTGTATAAAATATTATATGGAGGTGTGCATTTGTAGAATGTTTGCAGAGAACTAGCAAGCACAGAAGGTACTTGTGCAGCTGTAGCTGCAAAATGAGGCTGGAGTCTTTGTTTTAGTGTTTATGACAAATCTCTGGGAATCTGAGTCTCTCTCAGAAGCTGACAGCATACTGAGGAAGCAACTTGCTGATCTGAATCTCTGTCTAGGACCAGAGAAACAAGTAAGAACTAAGAGAAATCTGGACTACATTGCTAATTGTTTAAGAGCAATGCAATGTGTTGATTTGTATTTACAATGCCTTTTTTTTTTGCCTAAGACTCGAAAAGTGGAAATTTGCCCTAAAACCTGCTCCGACCATAATGCTGTGAAAATGGAGATGAAATTAACACCTACCGGCTCCTTCAGATGGAGGATGAATGACACCTTGTTTAGAGATCAAGAAAAATTTAATACCGATTGAGAAAGAGAGGTTTCAGAAGGAGACAGGTTTAACATTGGTTAAGAAAGTAAAATACTTGGGGGTTAACATGACTGCTAAGAATTTAAACCTATTTAAAGACAATTATGAGAAATGTTGGTCAGAAGTGAAAAAGGATTTAGAGATATGGTCAAACCTGAAGCTTTCCTTGTTAGGACGAATTGCTGTTATAAAGATGAATGTATTGCCAAGAATGTTATTTCTGTTTCAATCATTGCAAATCTTGGACAAGATGGACTGTTTCAAGAAGTGGCAGAGAGACATTTCTAGATTTGTCTGGCAGGGCAAGAAGCCCAGAATAAAATTTAAAATATTAACCGATGCAAAGGATAGAGGTGGATTTGCCCTGCCAGACCTTAAACTTTATTATGAATCAGCAGCATTCTGCTGGTTGAAAGAATGGCTGCTTCTTGAGAACACAGACATTTTGGACTTAGAAGGTTTTAATAATGTTTTTGGGTGGCATGCATATTTGTGGTATGACAAGGTTAAAGCACATAAAGCATTTAAAAACCATATTGTCAGGAAAGCATTGTTAAATGTCTGGATAAGATATAAGGACTTAGTTGAAAACAAAACCCCAAGGTGGTTGTCACCGATGGAAGCAAAGGCTCAGAAAAGGCTCAATATGGAGGCCAAATGGCCGAAATATTGGGAAATTTTGGAACAGGAAGGAGACAAACTGAAATTGCAGAGTTTTGAGAAATTAAAAGACAAAGTGCGAGACTGGCTTCATTATTATCAGATAATGGAGGCATACAATTTGGATAAGAAAATTGGTTTCCAGGTGGAAAAATCAAAATTGGAAACAGAACTGTTAGAACCCAAAACTAAGATTTTGTCAAAAATGTATAACTTGCTGTTGAAATGGAATACTCAGGATGAAATGGTGAAATCTGCTATGATTAAATGGGCACAAGATCTTGGACATAATATTATGTTTGCTGACTGGGAACAGTTGTGGACCACAGGTATGAAATTTACGGCATGTAATGCCTTAAGAGAGAATATTATGAAAATGATATACAGGTGGTACATGACACCAGTCAAGCTTGCAAAAATCTACCATTTGCCCGATAATAAATGTTGGAAATGTAAAGAAAATGAAGGTACATTCTTTCACCTTTGGTGGACGTGCCCAAGGATCAAGGCTTTCTGGGAGATGATATATAACGAATTGAAAAAGGTATTTAAATATACCTTCTTGAAGAAACCAGAGGCCTTTCTCCTGGGCATAGTCGGCCAATTGGTGCCAAAGAAGGACAGAACTTTTTTTATGTATGCTACTACAGCAGCAAGAATTCTCATTGCAAAGTATTGGAAGACACAAGATCTACCCACCTTGGAAGATTGGCAGATGAAGGTGATGGACTATATGGAACTGGCGGAAATGACTGGCAGAATCCGAGACCAGGGAGAAGAGTCGATGGAAGAAGATTGGAAAAAGTTTAAAGACTATTTACAGAAATATTGCAAAATTAATGAATGTTAGAACGATGTCGGATAGAAACTAAGTGGTCTTTAGCCGAAATGTTATAAGGGAATATGAAAAAAAAATGGTTTATTAATAGGTAAAAATCTAAAATTGCAAATATTTTATGATTAACGATTAGGATACATAAAGGGGGGAGGGATTTGTTGAACTAATAACTGAATTGGAATATAAAAAAGGGAGGTGTGAGGAGGTCCTGGAAATAAGCAAATGAAGGCTAAGTAACGGAAGGAATGAATTGTTTTTAACTGTTTTTATTTTGTATTTTTCTTTTTTTCTTTTTTTGTCTTGTAATATTCTGAAAATCTTAATAAATATCTTATAAAAAAAATAAAAATACAATGACTTTTTTTGGTAACAAGCTTAAAGACAGTTTGCTGTAAAAATTGCTAGTTGTTTAAGAGCAATGTGTTGTTTGGTGTTTACAATGGATTTATTTTGTAACAAGTTTAAAGACAGTTTGCCATAAAACTTTGGAACACTTCTCTTGATGTGCAGAGCTTATTGATTCATACTCAGCACAAGGTCCAGGTCAGGGAATTCGGCTCACATCACTAATAGACCTTGCTCCCCACTCCACTATTTTTCGTGCCTGCAGCCCTCAGCATTGGGGTTGAGCTTATGCAGCAGGGAACCTGATCTGATCATTTAGACTCCCCGTACAATT